TTCCAATTTTATGAATCATTCTCTAATCTCTTTGGAACAAATGCTTTTCATCTAAATATGAACCACATAACATGAGCATATAATTATGATACCAAATTAGAGACCGCATATGAGTTGAAAAATTGATTGAAAAATATTTCATTCTTTCATTTGCACACAGAATATAACCCAAGTTCAGTTGCACATCGACATATTTTTACTGCGCAGTTTACTAATTGGGTAGATTCATTCAGTCAACATATCGTGCGGAAAATTATCAAAAGGTAAGGAAAATTTCTCGAACAGTAACATGTTTAATCAGAAATTCAGTTTAGTTTTGTTTTCGATGGTTTTTATTTGAAATAAAATTAACATGAAGTTTCGATTGATTGTTCTGTGTTTAGCTATAAACGAATCGAGCCGTTGAAATGAGCGAACATCAGAAGCAAGTAAAGAAAATGCCACAATTTTTGTCACATACTAAACAAAACAAGTTGAATCATAATCGAAGTCATCACAACGCAAGAGATAATGATGAAGGTCCGAAAAGTGGAAATTCAAAAGTTCAAGTTTAATTTCCGTTAAAAATGCTTCAAACTTTGTCCGGTAAAAAGAATAAATTGATAAAAATATCAATGAAACTGGTCATAAATTTCGACAATTTAGTCGAGATACAAATGTTTCAACCACATTGAATTGAGCATTTGCGGAAATGTTGAACTTCTGAAAATATTACGCATTTCAGTTTTGCAGAAGGTTTCTGATGAAATGAGCGAAAAATGTTTGCCTCGTTCCATTGATTCCATTCAATTAGTTGTGGTCTCTTGAGCATTTATGACGATTCTGAGAAAACTTCTTACAAATTGGTACTAATCAATGTGTGCCAGAAATAAATAGAATCATTTGTGATGAATCACCGTGCAAGCCGTTTTCATGACATCATTGAAAAAAGTGTTTTCTTATTTCAAAGAGAATAGATTCTAATTAGCACAATTAAATCAAATGCCACACACTTTTTGACTAAAACACGATGAATTTTGACTTTGCATAGAATTGCAGTTCGATATTTTTGACAATCTACGCTGTGGGGCACGAGCGAAAATTGTTATTTCAGTTTGACGTCATGGTTTGTGCGTGTGTTTGGGTCACTTGAAACCAGAAACATGTGTTGAACAATTTTATGAATAAAATTATAAGCCAGAGAGAGGAAAGAGGAAAGAAGTGGTCGATATTTGATTAAGTATGCACGTCAGTTATTTGTCACATTCATTAGACTTAATCGACACACCGAAATCAATTCGATTAATCAGAGCGTAATTAATTGGATTGTGCGTAAGTGTGAAGAGTCATAGCTCGGGTGGAATAAGAAACACAAGTGTGGAATGGAAAACACATTTTCATTGCCATTGGTCAATGTTATCCGAGTGCAATGTCGATTCGAGTCGATGCATTCATAAAGAGGTCATTCACTCGAACAGCAGCAGCAGCAGCAGCAGCAGCAGCGACAAGTTCATGATACGTTGTTTATCGTTCAAAAATCGATGCAATAAATGAAATCCTTTTAATTAATTCGATGAAATCATATTGAATGAAGAGTCGGATTTTTATTCATTTTGCTGGACCAAATATCGACAAACGGTGGCCAACAAGTGACCATGTGACATTCTCCAAAAAACCGACAAGAGACAGAGACAGACAAAAATAAAAATGCAAAACACATAAAATGCAAATCTATGTTTAAACACCGAAATCGGTTTTTGACGTCGTCGTTGTCGTTGTCGTCACTGTGGTTGTCGGAATGGCTTTTTGAACCAAATAACACAACATAAACGAAGCACACACACACACACACACACACACAATGCGAATAGAAAAGAGAGAAGAAATGAAATGAAACCGACGCCCAAAAACCGAAAGTGAATTGATTAAGCAAAGGAATGCATTGAGAGCTAATTGAAGGTATTGAGAGGCGCCTACGTGTCGTATTTTAGAAAACGCGTTTCTTCGTTCCTTTTTATCATTATCATGTAAATTTCAGTGGCTTGATATTTTCAGAATGGCTCAAAAGAATTTTGACGCGAACATAGGGTGTCATAGCAACCGCTCGAGAATGTCACACATACCAATTCGACACACCCTGAGTCTTCGATGAAATCAACCAAAAATAGGTCGATGTGGAACAAGATTAAAGAGAGATAAACTTCAAATTATTAGGAAATAGTAGCTTATCCAAATAGTAGAACAAAAAAAGAAGCAATCATTGCATGATTGTTGTACGTCGCAATAAAACAACACGCTGCGGATGATGTTCAAGAATTGTGTTAACGGTTCGTTTAAGATCACATAGAGCCATGCTTCACACAATATATATTGTTGTAATTAAGTCGATTTAACTGGTTCGGCATGCAAATCAATGGCTTGATTGACTGTCATAAAAACTAAACGAAGAGAGAGAAAACTTCAAAATTCCCATCAGAAGATTCTGTGCAAAATGTTGAAATTTGAATTTGAATTTGAATTGACCCAATCTCTAATCAGCTTAACCGATGCAATTCGGAAGTGTTCCATACACACCGTCATGAATATATAATGGGTTTTCCGTTTCGTTTTTCTGCATTCGCATTTGGCATACGAACACAAACACAAACACACAGACACACGGTTGATGTAACAGCTCTAACTGGTTTCCATTGATGTATTCCGGCAATTAAAAAAAAACTTTTCTTTTTCTTCTCTCTCTCTCTCTCTGTCGCTCACGTCAAAATTAAGTAACCAACAATACAATACAATATTATCATATGATTCATTGATAATGTCGAGTTTTATGAGCCGAAGTCTCATTTTCATTAAATCATTTTAATCTTTGTTTCTTTTTGTTGTCGTCGTCGCTATCGTTTCTTTGTTTAGCGGATAATTCGCACGGAATAATTCCATCGACATATTTTGTCTGTTTTGTTTTAGCTAATTGATCGAACATGTTGACTTTAAGCAAAATCGCACAGAAAAACAAAATGCCAATCACGAAGAAGACTCAACGAATGCAGGAGAATTCTTAACGATTGGCTGATTTTCCAGCACAACACAAAAATAGTCCACAAAATGCTAATGAAATTAAGAGATTTTGTTTTTTTACTTGTTCGTTTGTTGGCTATTGAGTGGTTGTCGTGAGTGTGAAAAAAAAAAACGAAGTCGCCTTATTAATTGTTTGTTTATTAATCATGTTCTGATCGGCTGTGTGTATGTGACATACGACAGGCGTCAAAATGCAAAGAAATTTCTCACTCAAAATCGGTTGAGAACAAAGTCCCGAATTTTTAACATTGGAATAACTGTAGTGCGTCACCGATTTCGATACATGATGAGAATTGATCGAAGCAAACAATTAAGAGCCAATTGCACACGTCACAGCCTCCGATAAAACAATAGTCTCTATTGACAAAAATAAACCGATCGATCTATTTATAAAAGCTGTAAATTACTTACTGCAATATTTGATTTTGGATTTCAATGGAGCAGCACACAAACATTTCGAATCATTTGTGATTGTTTGAGAACTCGTCTCAATAATTCTTCATTCTGGTCTTCTATAACGATTACTATGATCGAGATCCGTGAGCTAGTTTTTGTACTTTGTTGCTGCTTTTTTTTGTCAGGTGAAAACAGAAAGTCAAAACAAAACGATTCACTGAGTGTGCGATGATGTGCTGAGATATTGGGTGGAGAGGGAGGCATTGTGTATCTCAATCAATCCCGTTGATGCTGTGCGTTTTGCGCGTCGTCGTATCACACGTGTATGGCTTTTGTTGCTTTCGATGCGAATAAAATCCGATTCGTGTTGGCTTTTCACACATTGCGCTCACGCGTGCGCGCGTCACTCGCAAATCGCGTACTATAAAGGCGAAATGGCAACATGAATGATCTTTCAGTGTTGAATTGCAATCGATCGAGATTCCACAGTGCTAAAACATCTTCGATTCGTTCTATTTTTCCTCGTTTCTTCAATTCGGATTCAGTTTAAACTACCTCAAAACATTGGATATTCAGAGAAATTCATTCAAGCGACGAACTATCTAACAAAAAAAAGAATTTAAAACAAATCAAAATGAATAAGTTATCAATTGTGAGTTTGTTTCTGCCAAAAAAAATTTGATGCAAAAAATATTCAACATTTCAAATCAAGTGATCAATTTTTTTTTGTTCTGTTTTTGAATTCAAAATTTTTTTCCTTAGTGTTTCGTGCTAATTGCAATAATTGTGATGGATGCCACTGCACAACAAGCCGGTTTATTGAATGTTCCGGAGCCGCAGTCATTCAACGATCAATCGGCATTAACAAACAAACAGAATCTTCAATCGCAGAAATATCAGGATTTTATTCATCAATTGTATCGCTTTGATAAGGATAGTCTGAAACGTGTCGACAGTTTATTTGCGAATGCGGACCGACTACAAGTTCGATCGGGCGGTACAAGCGCAGCCGAAGCACAACAGCCCAGCTATTCCGACTACATTCGGACACAACCGGTCGCACAACACCAACCAATCAATTATATCGGTATTTCGCAAGATTCTAGCAAACGATTAAAACGTAGTGCTCAGGGTGCCATTTTTCGGCCTTTGTTTGTTTATCGAATATTTCAGGAGCGTACGCTAGAGCGTGAGGAAGAACGTGTACGACGACGGCTAATCGCTAACCGAAGACGAGCATCAATACATCTAAAGAACCAATATGATTACTAAACACGAAAAAAAAAATTATCCGTTTTAAAGAATAATATGATTAATCACTGTGCTATCGTAAGACTAATTCTTTTAGTTTAGAGAAAAAGGACAGAAAAAACCAAGAAAAAAACCAACTGATGTAAACTGTGATGGGGGGGGAAGAGGGAAAGTGGTGGGTGGTTCATGAATTCCGCTGAATCCGATTAACCTTATTACAGCTTGCACACTATTAAATTATTTATTATTAAATCATCACTTATGCCTTAAATGGAACAGATAAGCTTAATGAAAATAAATTCTGGTTTGCGGATCAATGAATATGAACACAACTTTTGGTGTTATTCTTTTAGCTTTTAATTTTTTTGTATCATTTTATGGTTTTCTTTTCGATTTTCCCATTTGATAATTCGACCCGGCACAGAGATCTAGCACAGTTTCCAATCCACCGATGCCAATAAAAACGAAAGTACCAAGGCTGTTTGAAACATAACCATTTGTGTGCGATTTGCATCGATTTCATAAGAAAATGACAACCACAAAGTGTAGCGTCGCGCTTTGTTTGCTCTTCATAAATAAACACACATCAAACAGTGGGTCATTTTCCCGTTCAATAAAATACCAATGAATTCACCACATGCATCAAGACCACGAATACAGCATTAAGCGCGTGTTTTATTTTTCATTTAATTCGAAATTGAACACGCTGAAATTGAAGCAGTGAATGAAAACACACAAATCGAAGCAGAAAATGAAAGAAAATTTAGAACTTGATTGGAGAATCGTTGCACCAAGAAGCTGTGTGAGAATATGCATACGAATCATTTTCATCGGAGAGACATAGAGAGGTAGAGAGAGAGACAGAGACAAACTATGTGTGTGTGTGTGTCACGCATATCATTTTAAGCGAAGCGAGAGAAACCGAAAATGATCACGTTGATTGTATTGTTGTTGTTGGTTTCGTTTGCAAAGTCTTTTTTTTTTTTAATATGACTGATTGCCTCTATTTAAATAAAAATGGAATGAATATCATTAAAAAAAAGAAGATAAATATAGAATCGCGCTCACAACACTCTCATGCCGTGATCATCTCTCTCCACATCTTTATTTTGTAAACTACTTGTAATTTCGCAGAGATTCACACAGCAACTCAGTTCCGATACGTTCAGCAGCAGCAGCAACAATACGACGATGTGTAATAATAGTTTTCGTTGTAATTGATTGGCCTCTCTCGGTGCGCAATAATGCCCGTAATTACTTCATCCGAAACGCACACGTCGTCACATTTAAAACAACAAAAGGTTATGGCAACTGAGAGAGCGAAAGAAAGCAAGCTTGAATACTGAATGAAAAGTGGCTTTTGTTGCACATTTACTCAATCGTCGATCGTTGCAATGGATTCCAAGTGACGATTACAACCGATGCGAAACAAGAAAAATGCTGTGATTATACTAAAATGATTTGAAAATGATGTTGCAGTAGTTTCATGAATGCGATGTTTCAGACAGCCCACGCATGGACGAGACATTTTAATGATCAAAATGAACACGAAATTTATGTGCATAATGACTGGCGCGTTATTTGTTTCTTTTTTTTTGCGTTTATCTTTCGGCTGAATAAATTGGAATCAGGTTTTTGATGCATATGAAATGTATTCATCCATTCAACACAATTTTTTTTTCGTTGTTGCCCCAAAAAATCGGGCTATGATTTGTTGCGATAATGAATGGCAAAGTGCTCTGGATCGTCGTACATATAATTTTGAAAAGAATTTATAACTAAACGCATTTTTATGCGTACGAGTCATATTCGATGTAATCGTTGAAAAACTCCAAAGTCACGAAACTTGTCCCATGGACAATGATAAATAAATTTTGCGCATTTCACCATTCCTGTAGGGCAAAAACTACTATCGAATGCATAACAACTGGTTATCACGCTTTTGAAGCCGAAACGAGCAGAAAAAAAAGAAACATTACGTTTTTAACGCAATTCCGAAAAGCAGCCGAGTCCAAAGAAGCAAAACAATCAAAATTAAATTGCCACTATATGTATATGTTGGACGCTGGAATCCAGTTTTGTGACATTTTTCTATTGTAGACGCATTTTGTTTTTGTTGTTGCTATTCGGTCATTCAATCAGTTGGATTTTGTTGTTGCTGCTAAATTTGGCTTATGGAATCGAACGGCAACATCTAATGCTTTGGTCTCTGGGCTTGTCGCTTGGCCGGCAGTACAACCGAAATACGTAAATATTACCAGAAATGTATTTGATTTGTGATGAAACGGATTGGAATGCGACAGCAACGAACGATGTTACCGGTTGTCAAAGTTAAAAGGGAACCATTTTTTGGTGCTGCAATATTTTCTTTACCTTTTTTTTTTTGGTTTTTTCTTCTTTTCATGGGTAACTTCAATAGCTATTGCACATAATACAACATGCAATTGTTCAACACCATGCACCAGTTCAAGTGGGGGACCATTAGCTATCGATCCATTTTCAATAGATTTCACTTGCATTTGGCCGAATTTATTGACACCACTATATTATGGAGATCCTCAGTTCGATTCATTACTTCAGTCAGTGAACATCAAGCAACAAGTGCAATTTACAAATAATCAGTTTTTATTAAAAAAAAAATCATAATCACTCTATTTTGGAATACTCAACAAACACCAAATCACCAACAAAATGCAATTGAAATCAATTTTGATTGTCGTGGTAAATACAAAACATCGATTTATTTATACACTTTGATTGCGAAGAAAACAAATTAGTTGCAATTATCAGCCACACACAACTTCCATTCCGAATTCATTCATTGACAGTGCGATTATTTATTTGATCCGAATGAAGAGCATTTGTGTTGTACTGGATTGAACTTAGTTTTACACGTTGATCATTTAAAGTGTGCTATTTTTCTAACAAGAAGATCATGACAAAGTCAAATAGTGTCAACAAAAGCTTGTGTTCTTTACTAGTGATCCATTCTTGTTTATTTTTGAGCTCTTGCTTTGGAATTTGCCGCACACATAATTAGTGATCTACTCAGGAAAAATACAGAATATTTCAAAAACAAAACGTTTTTGTATGTTTTCAGATCATCGGGGCTATCTACGTTCATGAGACCGAAGCCGTGGCAAAACTCGCTCTTGTCAAGGCTAAAGTTGCCTTGGTCAAAGCACCACATGTCATTGCCAAAGTTTCTGTCGCCAAAGAAGTTTTAGCCAAAAAGAAGATCGCTGCCGCCAAAACACTTGCTGCTGTAAGTAACAGTATCAATATGCTGCTGACAAATCGTTCCTATTCTCTATTTCTCTCTTTGATTCTCCTATCAAAACGATCTTTAATTCAAATAACAGGTTAAGGCTTCCAAAGTGGCTGCACTTAGTGCTCTTACCGCTCCGTTCCGTGCTGCAAAGAGGACACTCGCATTGAAAGTCGCTGGCGTCAAAGCATTGAAAGCAATCAAATTGGCCAAAATCGCCAAGACCGCTCTCATTCTTAAGAATTTGAAGAAGTCGCCAATCATCTTGCCAGTTCCAGTCGCAGTTCCACTCAAAGCTTTGCCAGTGCCAGTGCCATTCCCTAAACCAGCTTTGCCATCTTTGCCAAACTTCTTTAACATTCCATCTCCATCACTCGGCGACTCATTGGGACCAATCCAAGGAATCATCTCTGGTGCACAAAAGGCCATCAAAACTGCCGGTGAGTATTTTCTCCGTTGCATACTTGGTGGCGCTACATTATTTACACCAAACCACTAAGCCAATTTCTCAATCATTCATTCTTTCTTTCCAAATCTTCATTGTTCAAATCAACAGGCGCTGGCATTCCATTGCTCTCATCATTCACCCAAGGCTTCGGCAACTCTGAATCTAAGGCACCAAAGGATGTTCCAGCCATCACACCACCACCTGTGTACCGTTTCGTGCCACGAGTTGAGATCGAAGTGCCATCAGTCGTTTACTCAGCACCAGCTCCAATCTATTTACCACCAGTCGTTCCATACGCCTCGGCCGTTCCAGTTGCACCAATCCACACCCCAGCCAGTACTTATGGCGTTCCAAACTAAGCATTCAGTTGAATTGATAGTTATCAATTGTGTATTGTAATTCCTTTTCGTGTATCTTATTAGGGCAGAAAGTGACGAATAACTCTAACTTAAAAATAATGTTCATCATCAACTTGTTTTTTAAACAATCGTTAGACATTTCGCATAATTTTCACTCATAATTTATTTTTTTTTTCACAAAAGCTTTACTGAATTGGAATCAATAAACAACTAAATAGAAAACATTGGATTTTTCCTTTTTTTTTAGCATCGGCTTAGAATAATAAAAAAATAGTCTTACCTCCGTAAGACGAACTTTTCCGCACCGTTTTCATAGCGTTCAGCTTTTATTCAGATTTTGCCTAGGAAATTTATAAGAATTTTCAGAAAAAAACAACAGTACGTTCATGTATTTTATGGACAATTGTATTATGATTCCGAAAATCTTGATGTTGGGTATTCAAATGAAATGAAACGTCTGAAATGAAAAGACAATCTTATTGTCGTCTGAATACTGAAACCTTATTCAACTCTATTTCAAAAATGCAAAATAATCAAGTATTGAAAAAACTGAACTTTAATCGAAGAACTGCAAATCAGTCAAATATTTGGAGAATGAACTTTGGTTTTAATTAAATCAAAAAATGTGGACGGAAATAATAAGATATCTCGACAAAATGTTTAATAAACAAGTTGAATAACCTAATTTTTTTGTTTATTTTTTGATGAAGTTAGACAAAAGTTACCAAACCGAAATCAATTGATCATTATTGCGATGCAACACTTGGAAACAAGTATCCAAACTGTGTATTATTAACTGTGGAAACAGCTGTAGTTTGTTTCTTGTATTCTTTTGATGTGGTTTCGTAGTTCGCTGATTGATTTTTAGATGGTATGTTGCGGGGTTGTGTCCCAAAATGATGGTTGAGGCGTATGCAATCGAGAAAATGCCACAGGAACATCCATCTGGTTGTAACGTTGCCGGTTCGATGAGTTGATACTGTGCTCCGGGGTCCAGGCGAGTGAGGATGTTTCGTTGATATACGTCCAATATTTTGCCATGATTGCCCTCCCCGTGTAGACTGTATAGTGAACTGTGGTGTAATGGCCAAGAAAGCTGGCCTGGCCGCTGATATGTTATTTGCAGATCGTCTCGTTTGGCTAGAAGTCGTTTGTATCGCTCTTGTTCTTGTCCATAGCAGATCGGATGCATGTTGAATGGTATGGTTCTGTTTGCGTTCACCAAATTTATAATGAACATATCGATTGACAAATCATTTAAGAATTCTGTTCCATCAATTTGATTTGTGATTGATTCTAGATCTGTATTCTTTGTAGTTTCACACAAGTCTTCGATTTCGTAGTAAAATTCATCCTCTTCCAACTCGGGAAAATCCACATTGTTGAGAATAAATGACACTTCAGAGGCGCTATCACATTCGCTATCAGAATCACTATTCAATACCGATTGCATACGTAAAAGGTAGGTTAGCGGGTGCTTGGTTGTTCCTGGGCCCCTATTAATTTGATGAAATAAATTGGGTGGGCATGATAAAACCCACCTGGTTAGCCTATTTTGGGTACCTTCCGAACAAAAGTTCATGTTTTTTAACGTTTTTCATACGCTAGGTATCCCAAGGTACATCTGGGGTGGCTGAAAATTTAATGGTTTTCAAGTCTAACGAATCACAAATGTTTGTTACTTACAGAATTTCATTTCCTATTCTGGTATTTGAGCAATCGTGCTAACAAATTTTTGCGTTCTGCGTACAGGGTACAGCTGTCACTTTATTAACATATTAATAATTTATTAATATTTTAATAAAATGAATTTTTTATTAACGTTAATAAAATATAGTGCATTTTATTAACATATTAATAATTATTAGTATGGTAAATTTTCGGTTATTAATATGGTGTAGATTTTATTAAAATGTTAATGAAATGTGGTTATTAATATGTTGTCGATTTTATTAGAATTCTAATAAATTCGACAACATATTGGATTTCATTCGATTTTATCAACGGACGACATCATGTTCACATCAAAGTCTATTCAACACAGCGTTTAGATTAAAACAATCATTTATCACGACAAAATCTCAAAGAAAAACGAGTCTGGAAATATTCGACATGTTTTTTGTATGAAACGCTGTGTTGAATAGACTTTGATGTGAACATGATGTCGTCCGTTGATAAAATCGGATGAAATCCAGTATGTTGTCGAATTTATTGAAATTCTAATAAAAAAATTGTCGATTTTATTAAAATTCTAATAAAATATCGTTTTTAATATGTTGTCGATTTTATTAGAATTCTAATAAAATCGACAACATATTAATAACCGAAAATTCACCATACTCATAATTATTAATATGTTAATAAAATGCACTATATTTATTAACGTTAATAAATATGGTGTTTCAAAATTTTTATTAATTATTAAAATATGTTGTGTATTAACATATTAATAAAATACCGATTTTTGACAGCTGTAGTACAGGGTACGACACACCCACATTAACATAGCAAAATAACCGCTGTATCGTGCTTTTTGATGTCGAAAATGGATAGAAAAACGATTTTTCGGGATACCTAGGTTTTGTAGTGATTACAATACTTTTACTCACGACATGGGCGTGCGAAAAAGTAATCTGGTAATAATCATGATATTATATTATTATAATAATAATGTTTCTTAATGAAGGAAAATATGTCAAGATTATTTGAATTGTAGCAATACATAGGGAAGATGTAAGCAACGCGAGTTCTTTCGAGTTTGGATCGAACTCGAACGAACACGAACACAAAAATTGAACTCGAACTGTTCGAATTCGGCTCGTGAACGAGAACTGAAACTTTTTTTATTATATTATTTTTTATTATTATTATTCAGCAAATGATGTTATTCACATACATGTATGCCCTTAAAAACTATGTTTACATTTAAAATTTAGTATGTATTAGTGGTATACAGTCTCAATTTACTAAATTGTTTTCATTTGATTTGAAATTGTTTCTCTAATAATAATTTTTTCATTTTGTTCTTAAATTTTATTTCATTTTTTTCATTCTTTAATGGAGATGATAAACTATTGTATTTATGAATGCATCTATTAATAATCGATTTTTCACCCCATTTATTTTTTGTTTTGATTTTACGCATATTTCTTGTATATCTTGTATTGTGTTCATGAAATTCATGGTAAAACTCAATTTTTATGTCTGCTTTTAATTTCTTTGTTTTGATTTTGTGAAAGTTAATGTTAAGTTCGAGTTCAATTAGATGTTCAAAATCAATTATATTATGTTCCCTATGTAAATCCCTTGTTCTAATAACTCCCGATCGATATTTATTATAGAAAAGGTTTCTTATGCATTTATTTAGCAAAGTTTTAATTTTTTTAATGTTATCATTACTCGTACCACTCCAGATAGTTAAAAGGTATATAATGTGTGAGTGAAAGAAGGAGAAGTACAGTAATTTCTTAACACGGTCATTGCACATGTATGCGATTCTTCTGAATACACCAATATAGGGTTTGACTCTTTTTACAACATGATCAACATGCGAGTTCCAAGTCAGATTTGCATCAATAAACAGCCCAAGATATTTCATTTCATTTACTTCTTCGACTTTTGAGTTATTCAAGTAAATATCCCCCAAGTTATTCGCTGCCGATCTCATTGAATTGAAGAATAAAATTTTGGTTTTTCCACCATTTAGCACAAAGAGATTGTTTGATTCTTAAACCACTCACTTATTTTTTCGAGATCATCATTAATTTGGATTGATAGTGTCTCAATATCATTACATACATATGTAATGGATGAATCATCCGCATAGAGTTGAAGTGATCCATGAAGTTTTATTTTGAAAATGTCATTCATAAATATTAAAAATAAGAGTGGTCCCAGTTTAGATCCCTGAGCTACACCATATTTGGTTTCACCAATATTACTGTGAATTTTCGCAACTTCAATAACCTGTTGACGTTCCATAACATATGATTTAATCAGGTCAAAAGCGTTCGCCCTTATACCTAGTTGCTCAAGTTTATTCATTAAAATGCCTCTGTCCACACAGTCAAATGCTTTGGCTACATCAAGGAAAATTGTGCATACCAGTTTTTTATCATTCAGAGCTCTCTGAATCTTATCAATAAATAAGATGCATGCGGATGTCGTATTGGATTTTCTTGTGAATCCGAATTGATTTGTTTTGATTCAAGAAAATCATAAAGTCTCTCATATATGCACGCTTCCAAAATTTTTGATTCAGTATTCAAAATGGAAATTGGCCTGTACATTTTGTATTCAGTCTTATCGCCACATTTTTTAAAGACCGGGGTAATTTTGGCCATTTTAAATTTTTCAGGAAAATTACCAATTTCAAATGATTGGTTAAAGTAATGAACAAGAATTTTACTAAATGGTTCCGGGATATTTTTATACAGTTTCGATGATAGACCATTAGTACCAGCTGAATTACTGTTATTTAAATTTAATATGGTTTTGAAAATTTCTTCTTCATTCATTGGGTTGAGAAAAATTGAGTTCAAGCTATCATATTCCCCAGTGAAATTGATAAAAAGTTGATCTAAATCTCCATATTCTTTCTCAAGGACATTTTGTGGCAACTCAGTGTAGTATTTATTGAGGAGATTCGCGGTTTTGGATTTACCCAGAATTACCCCTGACTCATTTTTTATTTCAATGTCCGATTTTTTTCGGTTTGTTTGTTATAAATTAGTTCATTGATGTTTTTCCAGAATTTTTTCGGATCATTCAAAGTTTTTTCAAACTCAGCATCAAAAAACTTTTTTTTCTTTGCTATGATTGCATTCTTAACCATTTTTTTTGCTTATTAAATTCAGTTCGATAAGTTTCATTGCTGGGTTTTTTTTCCTTGAGATCGAATAGATTTTTTCTCTTCTTAAGTTCAATTTTGATTTCACCATCAATCCAATTCTTCTTTTTGTTGTTAATCCCAGGAACAACTCTAATTTTTGTGCATTTATCGACTGTGTTTTTTAGAAAGTCAAGATATTCGAACTTCCAATTAATGATATTAAAATGAATGGATTTTTATTTTTCCTGGTTTGTCGCCGAGGAGCCAAATTTCTTTAAAAAATTACTTCTTTTCACAATTTACTTTTTTCAAGAATAAATAAACTAATTTTTGTACACTAAAAGTATTCTCTTGAAAAGTAATTAATGGTAATTCTAGAATTACTTTGGTTCGACAAATTACTTGAAAGTTATTTGTCAATAAGAAAACATTTTTGAGTGATTTATCCTTCTCTTCTCGCAAATTTTTGTGTTTTTCGCAAAAGTGATAAGAGATACATGTCTGCAGCAGAGTTATAGAGCATCTCAAGTACGACGATTTTGATCGTTAATTCTTATCAGTTCCAAAAAACGCGAAAAAACCAACAATCTTTGTCATGTAAACATATAATCTGTTTAATGCAGACAGAGAATAAAATTGTGGTTTTCCAAAAAAATAGAAAAATGCTTTGTTTCACGTTTCATCGATAGATTTAAGCGTAAATTTATTTGCATCACAATCGGAAAAGAAGCTTATGTTCTGATTAATTTAGTATTTAAACTACATTTCGTTTAGGAAGCTTCATAGATATGCCTATATGGACCATAATTGATTTAAATTGGCAAATCACTAACGACATTTCAATGAAGGACTCCTTTGGAATGCCAACGAACAAGGGGACAGCAGAGATTGGTTTCTATATGCATCGATGATGAATGATTTTGTATCTATGCATCGACGAAGAACATAAAACAACTTGAATGTTTAAATAAATAACAAACACACGCATATAATCTTGTATTGAATACATACAAAATACGAAGTGTGAAATTCTAGAGCGCCGTCCATGAATGACGGCAAAATTCAGTACTAATTGGTGTGATTTCGCAACATTTCACAATATGTCGAAATCACTTACGGCTATTTACAGATGATTTTGCCGTCAATTATGGATGACGCTCTACAATTGTTCAAAGTGTGACAATAAGCGGATGATAACAAATACATTTGATAAGATTTTTCATGCGCTTATTTATTTGCTTACAGTAGTATTGACTCAATACGAAACATTTATTTATTCTAACAACACCATACGTGTATGTGCACATTATATGGATGCAAATGCAGCTAACTATAACTATAAGTAAGGCATACAGTATGCAAAATGTCTAGCAAAATGTGCACACTCAGATGATCTGTGGTGTTTTTCTCTCGCACTTTCTGAGAACTTTTCTACACAAGATTAAGTTTATGTGTAGCGAATTTATTCTAAATTAATGCTACCAACTCCTTTTGGCTGAAATGCAGTACTATCTTACCATCTTTTATCCAAAATCCAGTATCCTCTTCGAAAATGTAGTATAAAAATCCAGTATATTCAAAAACACGTTTAATTGCAGCAAAATATGAAAAATTTATTAAAGTATGTGTTTAATGTAAAAAAAATAGCTCTCGAAACTGATAAATTGAACTATTCTGAATCTACTAAATCAACTGACATTGCACCTGGACTTGATTTTTGTGTTTTGAAATCATATTTTTCTTGTGCACCGATTTTTTTCAAAATATCTTGGCGAGTTTTTATGTAGCGGTAGAATTCAATGCATGTTAATTCCATATTGTATTGAATAGTTAGAATTGTCTTTAAAGTGCTTATTTTGAGAGATGAACTTTCTTTTTTCCAAGCTTTATTTACTCTCGCAAAAATTCGCTCTGCTGGAGTTGATGTACCGGGGAAACAAAAAACAAATTCAAAACTTACTGATTATGTTGTTTCTGAATTCCAACTGTATACAGATTAAATTAGTTTATAAACATTGGATAAATCATGAAAAGTGAGCTAATGAAGGTTTGCGTTCGACAAAACTGAACAACGAAGATGTGGCGACAGTGTTTCATATCGTTGTTAGTTACTGTTGACTGTGCAACTTGAATTAATGCCGTTCGTGTATTCTAAATAAGATTTGGGTTTCGATTCAAATGTTTACTTTATGATTTTGTCTGAAAAAATTCCTGGAACTCAACAATAATAATAATGTTCATGATGAAATAAGTCTATGCGAAACCGAAAACATACAAATCTGAGCAAGTGGCAGAATGCAGTATGAATCCAGTATATATCTCCAAAAATCAGTATCAAGTATATTCCAGTATCGAACAAAAAAAAAATGGCAAAATCCAGCATAATACTGCAAAATCCAGTACAGTTGATAGCATTATTCTAAATTCAGAATATTTCTTAGAAATCCAATAATATTGGTTTTGATGGTGAATCAAACAATGCAAACTAACATAATTTTCGCATTTACTTTAACACTCATATTTTGGATAAGTTCGTTGAATAAACGTTCAATGAGCAAGTGACAGAACGTTTATTTGCTGTCAATGCGCTTGATTAACGAACTCATCCAAAATATGGTTAGAGTTTAAAAGTAAATTCCAAAATTATGTTTGTTTGCATTGTTTAATTCAGCATCAAAACGAATATTATTAGATTTCTGAGAAATATTCTGAAATTAAAATAAATTTGCTACACAAGAACCATATTTTTGTGTAGAAAAGAGTCTACTCCAAAAGTACGGGAGAAAAACACCACAGCCACAGATCATCTGAGTGTGTGTATGCGAACGCATAGCGAATGAAGTTCTATGCATACTATTGCAACAGAACTATGCAGAGATATTTTGTGTGTTATAACTTTCTACACATATGAGAAACTTCTTCTTCGAAGATTTTGATCAATAACTGGATCAGAGAAAACTTGTGCAGTTTTACAAAAAGTATAGTTTCAAAATCAATGAACCAAAATTCTCTAAAGAGCATAATGAAATAATCTAATAAGTAATTTTACTCGTTTATGAAATCCAAACATGATCATTTGTAGCATCTTCAGCAGATTTGCCTACAATCTCCCTGACGATGGAGAAAAAATTGGGAACTACTACACCACTAACTTTGCATGTCATTTGTGAAAGCTATATACTCGTATCGCAGAGGAATTTTCGAAAATTGTTGATATTTTAGCCACTTATCCCGAACAAAATTATCGCATGAACCAGATATCTATACGGTGAAACACTCTCCAGGTTGAAATCTCTACTATTTTTCTATAAAAATGATGCAAATGGTGTACTTTGATTTGTGTACTTTATCTGAGATGAGACATACTTTTTTCACCCTACAAATTATTCTGGATTGGAGTGCTAATTTGATACCAATTTACCAATGTTTATGAGTGAAATGAAGATAGATTTTTTCCACAAAGAAAGCCAATTTTACTTCATTCTCCGATCCAGAATAAATTGTAATTCTTATCATGATTTCTTTTTATGTAAGAGCTTGACGAAATAATTCAAATATTGTTGATCAAAGCAAGTATTGAAGATATCACACTCAATTTCTCGAATTTGTACTCTCTGGATCGATCGTTGATTTTTGGACATTCAAGTTGATCAAGTAACACAACCAAGTACTTTCATGTTACCAAATTTCGTTGATATGTGATGAAACATGATAGGAATGTGACAACAACGAACGACCTCATGAATGTTATCGGTTATCAATATCAGAAAAGGGCCACATTTGGTACCTCATAACCATATATCTCTTTACCTTTTTCTTGTATTTTTGTTCCATTTCATGGCCAATTTCATAAACTATTGCACACAATGCAATATGCAATTATTCAATACCATGCACCAGTTCAAGTGGGGGACCATTAGCTATGGATACATTTTCAATAGTTTTCACTCGCATTTCTCCAAATTTATTGAAAATGAGTATAAATATATTCACAAGGTGAAGGGAAGTCATCAGTTCACTTGCTTGCTTCAGTTAGTAAACATCAAGCATCAGTGCAATTTAAAGAAAAAAAATCACTTTTTATCAAAGAAAAAAAAAACTATAAATATTCAGTGTCACATCACTCAATTTTGGAATACATACACAAAATCATCATCAAAATGCAATTGAAATCAATTTTGATTGTCGTGGTAAATACAAAACATCGATTTATTTATACACTTTGATTGCGAAGAATACAAATTAGTTGCAATTATCAGCCACACACAACTTCCATTCCGAATTCATTCATTGGTAGTGAGATTATTTATGTGATTCGAATGAAGAGCATTTTTGTTGTACTGGATTGAACTTAGTTTTAGACGTTGATCATTAGAGTGTGCAATTTTTCTGACAAGAAGATCATGACAAAGTTAAATAATATCATCAATAGCTTGTGTTCTTTATTATCAGTGATCCCGAGTGTAAAATATTTTTTCGGCTAAAAGTCAGTTGAACAAATTGGAACTAAAATGACTTACTTTCACTAACAGCTCAGTTTAACAGAGGGCTGGCTTAATACAATACTTCTCAACTTCAGTGAAATAAATTCATAATGAATCAGTCACACTTTGCACATGGGGATCCATTCTTGTTTATTTTTGAGCTCTTGCTTTGGAATTTGCCGCACACATAATTAGTGATCTACTCAGGAAAAATACAGAATATTTCAAAAACAAAACGTTTTTGTATGTTTTCAGATCATCGGGGCTATCTACGTTCATGAGACCGAAGCTGTGGCAAAACTCGCTCTTGTCAAGGCCAAAGTTGCCTTGGTCAAAGCACCACATGTCATTGCCAAAGTTTCCGTCGCCAAAGAAGTTTTAGCCAAAAAGAAGATCGCTGCCGCCAAAACTCTTGCTGCTGTAAGTAACAGCATCAATATGCTGCTGACAAATCGTTCCTATTCTCTATTTCTCTCTTTGATTCTCCTATCAAAACGATCTTTACTTCAAATAACAGGTTAAGGCTTCCAAAGTGGCTGCACTTAGTGCTCTTACCGCTCCGTTCCGTGCTGCAAAGAGGACACTCGCATTGAAAGTCGCTGGCGTCAAAGCATTGAAAGCAATCAAAGTGGCCAAAATCGCCAATACCGCTCTCATTCTTAAGAATTTGAAGAAGTCGCCAATCATCTTGCCAGTTCCAGTCGCAGTTCCACTCAAAGCTTTGCCAGTGCCAGTGCCATTCCCTAAACCAGCTTTGCCATCTTTGCCAAACTTCTTTAACATTCCATCTCCATCACTCGGCGACTCATTGGGACCAATCCAAGGAATCATCTCTGGTGCACAAAAGGCCATCAAAACTGCCGGTGAGTATTTACTCCGTTGCATACTTGGTGGCGCTACATTATTTACACCATACCACTAAGCCAATTTCTCAATCATTCATTCTTTCTTTCCAAATCTTCATTGTTCAAATCAACAGGCGCTGGCATTCCATTGCTCTCATCATTCACCCAAGGCTTCGGCAACTCTGAATCCAAGGCACCAAAGGATGTTCCAGCCATCACACCACCACCTGTGTACCGTTTCGTGCCAGAAGTCGGTTTCACCAACTACAACAAAGTCAGCTACCAACCACCGGTTGAAGTTGAAGTACCATCAGTCGTTTACTCAGCGCCAACTCCAATCTATGCACCATCAGTCGTTCCAGTTGCACCAATCCACACCCCAGCCAGTACTTATGGCGTTCCAAACTAAGCATTCAGTTGAATTGATAGTTATCAATTGCATATTGTAATTCCTTCTCGTGTATCTTATTAGGGCAGAAAGTGACGAATAACTCTAACTTAAAAATAATGTTCATCATCAACTTGTTGTTTAAACAATCGTTAGACATTTCGTATAAGTTTCACTCATAATTTATTTTTTTTTTTTTCACAAAACACAAAGATTAAAGTCGTGTGCATTTGCAACACAAACAAATTTTGCTAAATTGGAATCAATAAAAAAAAAACTAAATAAGAAATATGGTTTTTTTTCCCTTTTTTTCCAGAAAAAAAATTCAAGAAAATTTCACATTTTATGATTTTGATAAAAAAAAAAATGATTTCACCGTCTAGCGTTCAAAACAAAAGACTTAAATTCTAGTAATAAGGCGGCTCCACCTAAAACTGTGCATCAAAAGAGTGATTTGTTCGTAGAAAGTTCTGCCCTTTAATTAACTCCTTACGTTAGACGTCTCAAACATAGTTTTCTTGATCGGAATTTCCTTGACTTTAAGTGAATCGAAGATGTGCACTCGTTATTGAATATTGATTAATAGCATGAATATCAATTTATTCTCCGTGCATACAGTAGCGGCCGTCATAATTCAATTGAATTTTTGGTATGGTGATACAACGGTGAAATTCCCAAACGAAAAAAATTGCGAAATTGAAATTGAAGAAAAAAACAGCCAGAGTCTTGTGGTGGACGAGAATTGGCAATAAAATGTGAGTGCATTGTAGATTTTTCGTAAACAATCAAATAAGTTGCTTTCTAAAATGAATCGGTTTCTATTGCGCACAAAAATAAAATCTTTTTCGCAAGTCGCACATTTGAATACGAACTATGTCGAATGTGGTAACGGTTTGACTGTAAGACAGATGGAAATAGCAATCACATCATCGGTTACGTTATAGTGGTAAAATGCGATGTGAAAACCCTATCACTCTGTCTGAGTCGCATCATCCGTCGGTGTATCGTCGTTGCTGTTATTCAATTGTTCACATTCGTCTCTGTTCATCGCATATTGTTCGTGATAGTATCGGCAACGATTTGTGCGCTCTCACTATATATCCCTCCTTGTCTTTCGATTCGCTTGGTGTGTGCGAAATCAAGTACGATTGTCAAGACACCGAAAATATTTATAAAGAAGAAGGAAGAAAAATAAGTCGACGCAATCGAATTATTTGACCACATACACTCTTTGCATACTGACCATTTCTTCTCTTCTTGGTCGGTTTATGAGTGTGTGCAATTTTTGCGATGTTTGTATCGGTATTTTTTTCCCTTGACTTCCTGGTTGAAACCCAATGCTATTTTTTTTTTTCGTTTCTCTGTCGATCGCATTGAACCAACGAAATCAATACTAAACATTTGTTTTCGTCGTAAGTGTGCTGCTGCTGTTTTTTTTTTTTCATTCACAGTTCAAAAATTGACTGTATTTATCCTTGCCACACTTGATTATTTATTCAAATAAGTACGCAACTGTTTGCTGGAAATCGATCACATAACAAATCATTTAGTATTCTACGACGAACGAACGAACGAAAAAAAAAAACTATCGTTTAAAATAGACAGTCCATAATCAGTGTGTTGATCTTAGCAAGACAATATTTTGTTGTTGTTCGTGTTTTCGTTGTCGTTGTTTATAAAAGCGAATCACATAGCAAAAACCGGATTAGAACAAAAATCAGCAGAGAGCTCAATCAATACAAGCAATCGTTTAACATACGCACGCATACACCCAGACACCCAGAAACACACACACACACACATTGTCGCACGCATACAAACATTACAAACGTGACTGTCATTGATTGCTCTCGCTAGCTAGCTCGGTCGCTTCGCTCAAAACGAAGACTCGGATGTGCTGAAGTTACAAAGTGGGTGCGCAAAACATACGGTGCATAAATCGAGTCGATCCGATAACAGATGAATTCATGTTAACACGACGTTTTGAAACAAGTGAGTGTTGTTTTGTGCTTTGGATTTAAAAACATTTTAAATCGTTTTTGGCAAAAACAAAGCGTTTGATCAACGGTTTTGTTAGATAAGAATCGCATTTGATTTGTATCTTGACATTTTTTTTGTATATATTTTGCGTGCGTGCACATACGAATTTTTTTGTTCATTGTTGAATTTCCAGACAAATGGATCGAACATTGAAGTTGTGTCAGCTGTTGGCTGTATTTTATTTACTAGTTTGTAAGACGACAACCGCCGATTCGCCCACCGATGACAAAGATTTAGATGCACTAATTAAAGAGATCTTCCAAAATCCAAATGAACAACCCCAGCCAACTGTAACTCAAACACCGTACACAGTTCCGCCAACAGATACTCGCTATCCAAATCATGAAGATACTAATCATTCATATCCACAGCCACAACCTCAACCTAAACCAGATCCATATCCACAGCCAACACCATTAGTAGACCCAGCAAATGAGCCAAACGTAAGTCGATCTCATTACAAATTATCTTTGCAGTACACCCAATTTCAATCGTTCCTCTCATTTGTTTGCATTCAAGCCATGTTTGGTTGGAGAATGCGTTCCGTATTATCTCTGTGCCAATGGTTCAATTATAACCAGCGGAGAAGGCATTTTAGACGTCAGGTATGTTGGTTTTAGTATTTTTGTTTTGAATATTTGCCATTCTTCCAAATCGTGGGCTTTAGTGCTGTCAAACGAATCATTTGACATAAGAATGTGCATTTGAAAGTCATTAGTGAAGGAGCCATTGTGTTAATGGCAATTTAAAGTCAATAATTAGTGCAATGAACTCCCGAATATAACGCTACAAACTAGTTTCAACAAAACTAAAGCGGACAAATTTATTCAAAGAATAATTATTGTGCATTTTTTTTTTTTCATTTTTAATCCACAATTTCGATGACAACATTTTAGATTTGGCGAAGAAGACAATCCCGATCCAGTGTTTCATCCATGCAAAGGTCTTTTTCAAACATGTTGCTCACTTAAAACTGATACGCCAAATATACCAAAAATCGAGAAAAAAGAGGGTTGTGGCCATCGTAATCACGATGGTGTCGGTTTTCGTATCACGGGACAAAAAGACAACGAAGCACAATACGGTAGGAATGACGTTATTTTTGTTTGCTTTTTGAATTCTTATTTATTGACTCAGTTGTTCATTCGCAGGGGAATTTCCTTGGATGGTATGTTGATTTGTGTATTTTTGTTCGTTCGTTAGAGTGAATTTTTGTTTTTTTTTTCTTCTGCGTAACAGGTGGCGATCATCAAAGAGGAGCCATCGTTGCAGGATGTTTTGAATGTGTATCAATGCGGCGGTTCACTGATTCATCCATCGGTTTGTAAACACTAAAATGGAATAGATTCCGCTTTGTTTCCTATGGATTAATAAAGAACTTCATTGTATCCTCGTAAAAATAGGTCGTTTTGACAGCCGCACATTGCGTGTATGCCAAGAAATTGGGATCATTGAAAATTCGCGCCGGTGAATGGGATACACAGACACGTGATGAGATATTTCCGCATCAAGATCGATTTGTCAGTGAGATGATTATACATGAAGACTACTACAAAGGTGGCCTATTCAACGACATTGCACTGCTGATATTGCAAGAGCCAGTTGAGCTATCGGAAATCATCAATACAGCCTGTCTACCACCACAAGACTATCTTTTCGATGGTTCAAGATGCTTTGCTTCAGGTTAATGAAATATTGCAACTATTTTTTATTACATTTAATTAATTTGTTGATTTGTACCATTTTCAGGTTGGGGAAAAGATCAATGGGGTATGTTTTACTTTTAATTGCAATAAATTTAATCGAAATTTTACTCAATGAAACTCGTTGATTCAATAAACGCAATAGGCAAAGAAGGAAAGTATCAAGTGATATTGAAGAAAGTCGATCTGCCAATCATTCCGCGCATTCCATGTGTCGAACGGCTACGCTCAACTCGATTGGGTCATCACTTCAATTTGCATTCCAGCTTCATTTGCGCAGGTAATGCTATGTCGCTTATTGCCTTCAAATTAAAGCAAATCGATGAAATATTTCTGAATTTTCCACAGGCGGTGAACGTGGCAAAGATACGTGCAAAGGTAAGGAATGAAGAAAAAACTGAACCACGTTTAGCTAGTGGTACAAAGAAAATCAATAAAAAATGGCATTAAAATGTGAAAATTCTTTTAGGCGATGGAGGAAGTCCACTTGTTTGTCCCATTCCAAGTAAGCACGAGCAATACTATCAATCGGGTATCGTGAGCTGGGGGATTGGATGTCTTCAAGCGAATCCAGGTTAACACAACTGACCGTGTTGAGATCAAGCCAATTCTCTTAACCAACTCCCGATCAATTTTTCAATCAATTTTTATTTTCTTCATCCGCAGGTGTTTATGTGAATGTGGCCAAGTTTAGAACATGGATTGATCAACAGTTTCAATACAAATCGCTTGACACAAGCTACTATGAACTTTAACAAGTTTACTTAACAATTAGGAACAATTTTTTTATGTGTGTGTTTGTAGACAACAACAAAAAAAAAACAGAATAAACGAAGAGAATAGTTGTAGAGTGCAGATTTCAACACTTTTTTTCTTCTATTTTGGTGTCAGATTTTTTTGCAGCTGGTCATCATCGCGATAATTGCGTCAATTGCGAAAGTTTAAAAGGTTGATTGCATCGAATGATTAGTACTCAGCATTCGATTGAGAAAGATTTCATCGAAGGGGCTTCGTGCAGATTCAATCACGAAGTGTGCTGTGTGCATCTCGAGCTAAGAATTACCGCAATAATTTGAGACGATGGGAATTTCCATATGCGAAATGCACGCACCGGGATTTTGCTGATTTATCTAAATTGCTTTGAATATTAATCGAACAACGATCCTCGTGTGTACGTCAATCGTAATGAGACCACTGACCAATGATATTATATTGCTCTTCGATGCGTCTGAAGAAAATAAGACATTCACAGCCGAATACCAGTTTTATTGTTTTAACATGAGCAGTGCGCATCACAAGAACGAACAACAACAGAAGCAGCAGCAACAAAATAGACAGGGATAGAAATAAAGTCTATGAATTCTTGTTTGTAAACGATAAGAACACATACACGCAATCAGGTTCATGCGGCGTTGAAATCTTTGCTTGTTTTTGTTTTTTTTTTCTTGTTCGATTCATTATAAGTTTTTTTTTATTAATGTGCGTTTGACCGTGGTATTTGAATACACTGCTACGTTTGACGAGACGTTAAGATTGTGTGAAGCGAAGATGTTACACCGACACAACAAACGAGTCTCTCAACCGAATGTGTTTTATGTCGTGTCTGTTTATTTTTTTGTGTTTTTCCCTTTCTCACGCTCACATACCCACATACAGAGAGCGCGAGTGAGCTCGTACAGCCACCGCATAACATCTCTTGTGAGCTTCGTGCTTTGCTCACAGATTACTATTTTTTTTTTTCATACGGCCCAAACAAAGTCCTGATAAATATAAACATGAAATGATCCAATCGTTTCATTTAATTGAGCACTGCGTGCGCAGATAAGTGGCAAACTTCGCGCACGGCGTTTCTATTTCACACCGTGTCGATTCGATATTCATTGGTAGTGTTTTTTTTTAGTTACGGTTATTGTTGTTGATATCAACAATTTTGAAGAGCGTGAGAGAGAGAAAAGCGGACGGAAAATTGTAGGTGACCATTTTTAATATAACAATTCGTTAATTACTAAATAGATAAAAAAAAGTATTTTTAATCAAAAACACGTTTACACAGGAACTTGTTTAGAAAGAAAAAATCCCAAAATGAGGTTACTATTGTGTTTCACTGTAGCTGCTTTGCTCGGAAGCAATGTTCACTGCTCGGACACCACACTTAATGTGGACGAAATGCTCACTCAAACCACACAAATCACGGAAACCACGGAAGCAGTCACCAGTGGCGGCTGTTCATCCTGTGCTGCCATCGCCGAGGAAACAGCGCTGGAATCGAAATTATCAAACGTATGGGCTTAATATTCAGTCAATGGCTTTTTCTATTCGATAATATGCAAAATGCGAAACAAGCGATTTGTGCATCAGCCGCCAGTCGTTCCCATTGAATTTCAGTATTATTTCCACTTTTCTATAATTTATTTTTCTCGAAATTTGATTAGCCCTGTGAATACGGTGAATGCGTTCCATATTACTTATGTTTGAACGGCAGCATCATCACTAGCGGGGAAGGAATTTTAGATGTCAGGTATATACGTTGTATTTTCCTCTATATTTTTTGATCTTTTCTCTAATCTACTAAATTTTAAACAGATTTGGAGCTGAAGACGACCCAGAACCGGAACGGCATCCATGCTCTGACTTCTTTGACACCTGTTGCACTCTTAAATCCACGGAAATTGTTAAAGAAAAGGTAAAACCACCGATTGAAAAGCATGATAAATGTGGCATTCGCAACATAAAAGGAAGCACATTTACATTGATTGGACGGGAAAACGAGGCACAATTCGGTGAGTTATCAATTTTTTGGTGTTTTGTTCAAAATTTTAAAAAAATTATTCAAACAATTTTTATATTTGCTTGTTTATCAGCTGAGTTTCCATGGGTTTCGGCTGTGATTTACAAAGTACACGACAATGAGGACATTGTAAGGCAACATTTTAAATCTTAGCTATGTATTTATCTCAATTGCTTTATTTTTTTTTTTCGACTCATGATTCGGCAGGTGAATGTGTACAAGTGTGGTGGCTCACTTATTCATCCAAACGTCGTTATGACCGTGGCACATTGCGTTATTGATCTGCCCAATGTGCATGACATTTTGATTAGATCCGGTGAATGGGACACCCAGACGGTCGATGAACCGTATCCCCATCAAGATCGTGCTGTTACCGAAGTTTTAATTCATGAAAACTATCGACGCGGTAGTCATTTCAACGATATTGCTTTATTGATACTCGGCACACCCGTCGAATTGACGGAAAATGTAAATAATTTACACAAAAATTGGACATTTTTACTATTTATATCCTATTGATGAATTAATTTCCTCATCAGGTGAATACTGCTTGTTTGCCGCCGCATGATTATGTCTTTGATCATCAACGATGCCAAGCAACTGGATGGGGTACCTATTTTCTGATCAATTTTTTGAATTTCATGAAAAAAAATTGTTTGTAACCTCAATATACGATTGTAATTTTCCCAATTTTGTTTCCCATAGGCAAAGATAAATTCGGAAAAGATGGATTGTATCAAGTGATTTTGAAGAAAGTTGAGCTTCCAGTTGTCCCACGTGAAGAGTGTCAGACCAAATTGCGTGAAACTCGACTTGGGCGACATTTTATTTTGGATCATAGCTTCATTTGTGCAGGTAAAAGGCCCGATGACTTTGAAAATACAGCGAAAATTCGTTTGATTCAAAACGCATAATTCGCCCTATATAAAATTATTATTGCCTCTTCTCAGGTGGTGAAAAAGGAAAAGATACATGCCAAGGTATGATTCGATTAATTAAAAGAATCGATTTCCATTCATTTCTGATTAAACAATTTAAAAGAACACTTTAAAATGTTGTGTCTTTATAAATCGAATAGGCGATGGTGGATCGCCTCTGAACTGTGAAATCCCAAATAATGAATATGGTCAATACTATGTCACGGGTGAAGTTGCATGGGGTAAAATTAATTTATTTCTTTTAGAAATTGAATTATTTTGTTTTTCAAATTTTCTCATGAATTTTTTTTTTTTCGTTCAATTTTTAGGCATTGGATGCTTTGATCCAGTACCAGGCGTTTATGTTAATGTAAATAATTGACTTTATAATTCGACATTACATATAGTAGTCTATATATATTCTAATGAATTGATTTCTCCATTAGGTTCCAAAATTCCGTCCGTGGGTGGATAAGATATTCGATGAACGAAACTATGACAAAAAATTCTATACGGCAATCTAATTAAGAAGCTACGTTCAACGGAATCAACGGAATCAAAAACACTCTAATTACACTTTTTCGGCCAACAATTTTTCATTTGCATTAAATTTTGGATGAACGACGAATCACATCGTGATAATCTATAGAAATGTATTTTTCGATTGAAAGAAAAGACGCTAAACAGCATAAATGTTAGCATAAGAGACCAAATTAATAAAAAAAAAGACTCTGTTTTAGACAAATGCAAATTTTGGCTTATCCCATTTTTCTTATTCTTACTATATATTAATTGAAATTTTACTAGAAATAGCACAATGACACATACATTTGCCTTCTCAATTTATCTACTGATATTCAAATTGTTTTTTTTTTTTTTGTAGAATTCCAACAAAATTACCGACAAAATATCAGCTTTGACTCAATTCTTCATTGCAATTAAAAAGAAAAAAAGAAGTGATTTTGTAGCACAAAAAATATGTTCAAAATGTAAATTGTTTTCGAAGATTTTTTCTACCTACAAATAAAAATGGAAAATAGAAATCAGAATTGAAATGATGTCCCATAAAAATGAAGTTTGAAATTTAAATGCAACGGTAAACGACATGAAACGGTGAGAAGAAGCCGGTTTTTGTTATGTTCGTCATCTAAAGTGTCCAAATGGGATTTTCAAATCTACTGAACCATATTATTATGGTTTCTATGCTAAATTTCCGACACCGAACACTTGCCAATTGCGAAGAACATTCGGGAATTTTGTCATTTTGTGAATAAACAACCGGTTATGCGACGTATTGTTAAAAGGTTCTAATTGTTTCTTTTCCCAAAGAAATCACAAACAGCGGCAGTCAGATGAGCCCATTTAGACGCACAAAAACCCAGTCAAACCAAGACGTACACATGTTGAGAATATAACGATAGTGGTTTAAACCACTGAGATGTTAAATACATCTCATTAAATTGGGATCCTCCTGTTGAGTTTGGTTTTACTCTCTTAAAAAAATATCTGTCATTCTAAAGTTGATGTAAAAATTAAATTTCCGTGGCGTTCCCCAAATTTACAAATATTCCTCAATGCGTCAAGGTTTATGCGTATAAAAATACCATCAAACCTATCCAAAATCAACGGTGTTCCATGTGAAGGAGAAGAAACAAATTCGAAAAAAAAAATGGGACGAAAACTCGTTAGCCGGATTCGTTCACTGATAAGAATGGTCAAAGTGCGGGGTCATAATCACCAACATAACAAAAGGTATACGAACAAGGAGACGGTATGAAATTTGCAAATGTATCGGTCGAATGAAAAAACAAACAAACATACGAGCAACGGACCGAACGACCACATGAAAATGTCAAGTTTGTGTGCTAAATATGGAATGTGGTCGGTGTGTTCATTACACACAAACTCATCAGTTGCTCTACCACAAATACAATCGAAAATCTGAAATCTGTTTCTCTCTCCTACAGGTATGGTGTGTTGTGTCCGTCTGTCTATACATGTACCAAACGCGTTGTCTGGCGTCGTCTCCAATGATGATTATATATAGTGCTAAGTGGTGCATTTCTTCTCGTTTTATCTCATGCGCTCTCTCACATTACCATACCTAAAGTCAAATTGACTCCTTAGTTGTCGTTATTTGGTCATGTGTTGTGCGCTGTGACGTTTATAGTGTCTGCTCTCAACAATCGATCTCGCTCTGTCGAACGTCAGACAAAATATAAATCCAGTGTCAAGTAATTTTTGACGCGCTCGGTATTGTGTGTATTATTGCAAACGCACGCGCACAATCAAATCATTCATTTGTTAGCTATACACTGGTTTGGATCATCATCGTTTCGGAATTGGTAAATAAAAAAAACAACACTCAATAAATCGAACGAAGTCATTTTTTGTCGCTATTTTTTTTCTTTCAATTTTGGTGAAGTCAAGCGAAGGAGGTGAGCGAATGAGATAGTTTTAAACAGTTTTAGTTGAACACTTTTGATGCGAAGAATATTTAAATCGAGATCAACCATTGTACCGTTTCATTCGTGGTGTTGTGTTGTGGTTTACAATATCAATATAAAAAAAAAATTATTTTCTTCGACACAGAATACAACCAAACGGTGTAAGGTCAAGCAAACGTTTATGATATTTTTTTCTTCTCTTTCTCTCGTCTTTTTCTCGTCCGCAATCTTATGTGTCTGCGTATTTGAAAATAAAAAAAAGAGTAAATACACAAACAAAATAGAACGAAACTGCAGAACGGTTTGGATATCGTGATCCGTGCGTGCTACGCCATTTCAATTGTTTTCGGTGCTAAAATATTCGGAATTTTTAACTCTGTGTGTCGGTCAAGGAAAGAGAAAAGTAAAATACGCGGGTTTTTCCATCTTTTTTTTTTTTCAACCAGAAAGTTGCATAACCAACACTTTAAAGGAAATAACTGTAATAAATTCTCTCTTTTTAACTGAAGCTAACGTCTCTGCTGTCGCAAAAATTCAAACGAATCGTGACAAACATTTCGTATACTTTTTTCTGTATATGTTTTTAGTTTTCTTTTTTTGTGTGTTGTTTGTTCTAAGTTTGGTCGTCTTTGTGACATAACCGGTTTGATGTATTCTATCGAGGCTGCAATTTTTTTTTTCACCTCATTTCGTTTCTTTCCTCATAAAACTTTCATTGAGTTGCTGTGTTTGTTTTAATTTCCTTTAATACAGATTCATCAAACGACTGTGAACATGTGGAATATTCCATTTCTTGTGGTGCTCTGCACATCGTTAGCGTTTGGCCATCCGCAAGGCACGACACCAACGCTTGAAAATAAACAGACATTAGATGGTTTGTAATAATTGCTTTTTATTTCCATTTTGTCGAAGGCTAAGCGTCTCAGATGAGCAAATCACAACATGATAAACAAGAATCAGTTTATATTCTAGTTCATCTAACGTATCTAGCGATGAATTTACTTTTGAATTGTCACCTTTTTTCTCATTCAAACCACTTACAGATTTGATCAACCAAATTTTCACACAAGACAATTCCGGAGTGAGCAATCAAAACAGTAACCAGAATCAAAACGGCAATGGAAACACATATCCACAACAACAAACCACAATTCCGACTCCTGTGATTGTTCAAGGCGGCGGCGGTGGTGGTGTGAATGGAGGCGGTAACGGTAATTATAACAATCAGAACAATCAGCCGTATCAACCAACTCCATCGAATCCCCCGCCATACAATCCAAATTCAAATCCAAACGCAAATGTGAGTAAAAACCAATCACGATTTTCAGAGATAAATATTCACGAATGGAGTCAAATCTGTATTACAAACTCCTTTTCTTTGCTTTATTGATTTGATATTGACTTTGCATTTTTAAAAATAGCCATGCTCGTTTGGCGAATGTGTGCCCTATTATCAGTGCGCCAACGGCACAATCATTACGGACGGTGAAGGTTTGTTAGATATTCGTTTTGGCCAAGAAGAGAATATCGATAGTGAGAAACATCCATGCCCTGGTCTTTTCGAAACCTGCTGCTCATTGCGATCGGAAAAACCAATGATCCCACCTGAAACAAAAGTCAATACCGGCTGCGGTATTCGTAATCAAGACGGCGTTGGTTTTCGTATCACTGGTGACAAAGACAACGAAGCTCAATTCGGTTTGTTGAAATGGCTTTTTCCTTTCTTTCGACATTCAAGTTGAATAGATTCAAATCATTGAATCGATTTCAATTGTTGAATGTTCAAAGTTTTTTTTTTCAACCAAACATCATATTGATTTTAATCAAAATATACCTCTTCTTTGGCTGTTAGGTGAGTTCCCATGGACTGTAGCAATTTTGAAAGAAGAAAAAGCATTGGATGGACAAGTTTTGAACGTTTACGTATGCGGTGGCTCCTTGATCGATGCTGGTGTAGTTCTGACAGCCGCTCATTGTGTTGACAAGAAAGATCCGCAAATTCTGAAGATTCGTGCCGGTGAATGGGACACACAGACAAAAGATGAGGCAAGGCTATTTCTTGATTTTTAAATTACATTTCTTTCGTCCAGAAATTGAAATTTTTTTTCGCTTAAAACAATGGATATTTCCAGATTTTCCCACATCAAGATCGTCAAGTGCGTGACTACGTCATTCATCCCGAGTACTATCGCGGCGGCTTGTACAACGATGTTGCTCTGTTGTTCCTAACGGAACCAGTTGAAATCGCTGAAAATGTCAATATCGCATGTTTGCCAACTCAAAACGACGTATTCGATCATGCTCGCTGTTTTGCTTCCGGTTGGGGCAAAGACTTATTTGGAAAAGAGGGCAAATATCAGGTGATTTTGAAACGCGTCGAATTACCAATTGTACCACGTGCATTATGCGTCCAGAAATTGAGAGAAACTCGTTTGGGCAAACACTTTATATTGCATGAAAGTTTCATTTGTGCCGGTATGATTCTTTTTATCTTTATTCTTAAGATTTTTCATAAATTTTGTGCATTTTTGCACGTTCAACTTAGCATTTTCGATTCTTTTAAATTTTCTCTTCTAAATCTCATCAATCAATAACTTTTAATTACATTTTTTGTGGAACATACATAGGTGGTGAACGCGGTCGTGATACTTGCAAAGGCGATGGTGGATCTCCGCTAGTGTGTCCCGTCCTCAATGCGCCGGGCCGATATGCACAGGTAAGATGATCATCACATTGATGAACTATTGATTGATAATTTTCCATTGAATGAAAAATGATGAGTTACATTTGTATCATTTCAGGCTGGCATCGTTGCGTGGGGAATAGGATGTGGAGATGAAACTCCAGGAGTGTATGTGAATGTGCCAGCTTTCCGATACTGGATCGACGAACAAATGAAGTTAAAACATTACACCAACGTTGGATACAATGTATAGAAACAGAAGCCATTTTTTTTTTCTCTAGTGCAATTGATTAAGTAGATGTCGTGTTACCACCCGCTCGATTATTTTTTTTCTCTCGGCGAAAGACAAACTCATGAATTAATTCAGCCCGCACAGTGCATTTATGCAAATAATGACACCATTGATAATATTTAAAAGAAAGAACTAATAGCTGCAATCATTGCGATGCAAAGCCTCCATCAACGCATACATTGTCCCGAATAATTCAAACCGTAGATATATTCCAAACGGCTTATGACATAAGTAATAGACAATCCCATATGATTAACAACTTTTTTTAAAAAATGAGAACAAAAATAAAACGAGAATATTTGATAAAAGCGATTAGAATAATTATAAAAAAAAGCGATGAATTCATTCAACTTTTTTGATGTCAACTGTGTGCTTGTTTATTCATTTCAATAACGATAATTCAAATTATGGCGTTTCATTTCGAAACAGCACTATCAGCAAATGAGAAGACAAAAACAGAACAAATGACAATTCCGTTGATTAGCACAGTTTTTAGTTCAAGGCTACGTCCTCCTTAATAAGCACAATAAAATATGTATGTAAAATGTTTTTTTGACGAAAAAAAAAATTGGATTGAGTGCATTTGTTTTATTTTTGATCAAATTCATTGTAGCAAAGTAAATGAACAGTCATATATTTTGTTATGATCATCTTCGTTTGATATATTCCATCAACGAAACTATTCGCTTGATTGCAAATCGCGAACATACAAAAACAACAATCGAAAAGCCGTTCGAACAACGCGCTGAGTTGAACGCAGGGTCGGTTAATCTGTTGGGAGGGCATCGCTGTGCGGACAACACAATACTGTTAATAAAAAGTACATGCAAAAAACACAAAACACAAAACAGAAAATTTACGCCGTTTGCGCTACAATTTTGACATTTTATCAACTGGACGATGCTGGTTCGTTATGTTATTTTCGACGGTTCATTGCACATTGTGCAAAGCATGAATCATGCGTGTATTTCCAGTTTAAAAACTTTTCGGTTTTCCCAACGCGAATTATTTCTTGACACTTTTCATCTCGGTCGGCCGCAAAAGTGCAATTGCCTTGAGCGATGACAACAATAACAAGAAACAAATTCGCTCATTTCATGCAAATTTACATATTTCGTGTATCGCACAATTTTGATTCGAAAAATGAATGATAAAGAACCTTTTTTGTGCATTGATTTGGAAATAAATTAGATTTGCCCAGCTAATTTATATGTAAAGTATGAGCATTTATATGTAGATTATATGTTTATTTCAAGTTCATGACCAGTTGACCACTTGGTTCAATATCGCGCACATATGTAACCTTATGACCAATGATGTGCTGAACGTTATGACGAATAATGTGCTAGTGGTGAGTTCTTTTTTTTATCTGTTCAAACGGTGACCAAATGTGGTAGAACCATTTGAAAAAATGCCGTTTAATTGGAGCCTTTCCATTCAAATTGGAGGCTATTTGATCCTCAATGTGATTATAGTTCATTGTATCATACTTTTGTTTGCATTGCTGAGTCAATCTCTCGTGATGGCTGTTTTTCAGCCTCACCGGTTGTTTGCTCCAGTGATCTTGAAATGAATTAACACCCGCTAGTTAAATTGTCATTGTTTTTTTTTTCTCGGAATTTTATTCGCGAGAAATGATTTTTAGCCGGGTTTCTGTATGAAATTCAAGTTAATCAAGCCAATATCAATCTTTTCATGATATAAAAATAAGATGATAAAATGCAAATGACTAAGAGGCATAATCACGACCGGCTATCCAATACATTGAAATTTACTTAGACAACATATCAACTGTAAGTATTTACTTTAATTCATCAGTTTATCATCATCCGATCGCTCTTTCTATCCCAACACTTTCTCGCTCTCTTTCTTTTTCTCTTTTTCACTCTATTTCTATCCCCACCTCTCTCTTGCTCTACTGCTTTCCCTCGCTTACATCAGCAAGAACAATTGTTTAGCCAATGAATATTTTATAATAAAATTTTTATTTGAGCATCACTTGCTGGTAACACAGTGATGTACAAGAGATTGGTAGTGCGAAGCCAATAAATTACACATCGAACAGAGTGACAGCGATTGCACATGTGTATCCTACTCGATGTGTATTCCCTTATATCGTCGTCTATCTGTTGATCTTTGGCTGCGGTTTTGGCCGTCGGTCGTTGTGCTGCGGCTTGCACATAGATTTCAGTTGTATCATTGTGTGGTATTTGTTCGTTCGGCGCGTTTATAAACAGCATCCGAAGGTTTACTGGAATTATTTATTGCTGTGAGTTCTAGCGAAACCAGTTTGAATATGATGCTTTTGCGGTGCATTTTTTCGAGAGTAAATGTCACTTTGAATCAACAAGACGAAAACAAACAAAAAATTAAGCTGCCAATTAATGTCTGAGAGATTAAATATACCAAAGAAAAAAATCTAAACCAAATTCATTGTTGGGCGAATTTTCAGCGAATTCATTGAATGTGCAACGGACATTTTCAAAAATTAGCATCTAAAACGGAATCATTTGAATTTCGATGTTCACTGTCGCGCCAAAGAATGTGATATCAGTGTGTCCGGAATTGAAGGACACTTGAGATGTTTCGAATGAGACAGAATCAACGAATAGCAATTCGCTAAGAGATAACCTGGGAGCCAAATTCGAATAGGCGTTCGAATAGATGACAAAAAAAAAATTGCCATAGAGATGCGTTGATATGAGGAAAACCCACACTTTAATAAACACTCGACAACAACAAAATACATAATCAAATACAAAGCCACGTGTAAACAGACGACGGCAACGAAGTATATTAATTGATTCCACATATGATTTACCAGTTTCTTTGCAATCCAACGACGACAGAAAGAGAAGAAAAAAAAAACTCATATCAAAATGTTCAAGCGCACAAAAGCACCAACAACATTGTAATGGAATAGAGAGACGGACAGAGGCAGACACGACAACTAACGCATTTGCGCATGTATAATGAGACAATATATACGCATAGCTACACACTTGCTCGTTCACTATCTCTTTCTCTCGCTCGGTGTTGCACTCTCAGTGAACTATCCAGTCAGCTCGTTTGTCCGCTCACTCTATCTTTCGGTCGTAGACGACGGTCGCCGAGAAACGAATTATGACAAAAATTATTTGTAAATATCAGGGATTACAGTTGACCATTGTCTTTCCGCCAGGTTAAACGTTTGTGTACGTGTACTGCTGTTTGTGGTCACTTGGCTTTTGTTGTCTCTGACAATTTGAATAATCGAATTGTATTTATTGTAATTAAATAAGTGTGCGTTTGAGTGTGTGTGTGTGTGTCTGTGTCTGTATTGTTGGTTGGTAGTTAGTTGGTTTGCACTTTTTCCGAAACGAACAACGAGCAAATTGCTATCACTCTATTTATACATAAGACAAACCCAGCGGTAATCACTCAAATCGATGACTATATAGATTATAGGTTTGAATAACACAGAAAAAACAGTAAAATTTGAGACAGAATAATGTTGACAATCCTGGCTTGTATACAGCCAATAATCGACACGAAGAGAAATGAAACCGATTCAATTACACTTCGACTTTTCCTGATGTAATCGGAAATTCCATGTGATGCAATTTAAATAACAAATGACACCGAAGAAATGAGATAAACAACGTACAGCACGAACGATGGCGAGCGCATCATACGTAATTCATTTGAAAAGTTCAATTTCATAAAATCAATATTAATGAGATTCAATGAGCGAGTGTTTTAGCGGTAGAGTGTGAAGAGGTGTCAATTTCTGCGGCGCGTTCGCGATCGATGTTTCTGTTATTCACGCACACACACAAACTGTGCACACTCACTCGGAGAGATTGATGTGAATGATTTTTCGTGATGTCAACCGCATACCGCATCCATCGGGGAAGAAACGTGAACGTCAATCAACAGAAAAAACATCAACAAAAGTCACTACACACATCCAACCAATCGAATGTTGAATTTAAGAAAAAAAAGTGCGTTTTACGCGGCGATGAAGAAGTATTTTAAGAAGAAAAAACTCAACGGTTTCGCGGATATGTTTTCTTCATTTAATTGTTGTTGTTGTTGTTGTTGATGATGATGATGATGATGATGGTGGTGTGCGATCGAAATCGATGTGTATGTGACGGTGTTTTTTTATTCGTGTTGTTTCGCAATAAAACAGCCAAACTAGTTTGCTCGTACACCGTTGAACGTTGAATACATAATTTATCGTGTGCCTCTCTGTCGACGTCACATTTATTTTTCACTTTATTAATTCGTTGCACCGTCTGCTTAAATGCCGCAATCTGACTGATTGCCTATTATCCTTTTGACTGATTGCCATGCTGGCCGCTCCTTTTGTTTCGTTTTTTTTTTCTTGACTTCTTACACTTGATTCGAAACCTTTTTTCTGCTTGATTTCTCAAATAAAAACGTACTCATTTGCTAATCTTTTTTTTTGCAGTCTTTTGATTGTTGTCAGCAGGAGATAAAGTACTATTCGCCGTATAGGAAACCACTCTCTGTGGGACGAGTAAAGTAGCCGTTCGTTGCTTGTTTATTGAAAAATTGCCTCAATCAAGTAAACAAAAACAGTAACTGAAAAATGAAGACATATCCTTTAATTGCCATAATAAGTTTGACTGTGATTTATGCTGTGAATGCGACGCCACAACGAAACAGATGGCAGCGGCAACAAAATGAAGATCCAGCTCTTCAAGATGCAATTGACATGGTATTCAATACACCCAACCGTGGGCAGCAGCAACAACAACAACAATCAACGACACAGTCAAGCCGTGGCGTCGGTGTTGTCGTAACACCAGATCCAACTTATGTACCAACCACTGCACCCCAAACGCTCACGGTGAACGAACAAAATTGCACCTGTGTACCGTACCATTTGTGCGATCCAATTACAAATACAGTGAGAGAAAATCAATCAAACAATGATGAAGTGACTGGCTTTGGTCTAATTGACATTCGCTTTGATCCTCTCGATTGTGTGGATGTGTTGGACGTTTGCTGTGTTGGCGGTGCACAACGAGAAGAATCCATCGTGCCAAAACCAAATGAAAATGTTCCAACTCAAGAGGCAGGATGTGGCGTTCGTAATGTTGGCGGTCTCGATTTTGAATTAGCCGGCGCATTTGTAAGTTGAACAGAGCGATTTGAAAAAAAAAAAATTTTGTCGGTTTTTCTTAAAATTGCATCTTTGTTTATTTGTTTCAAGGATAATGAGGCTGGATTTGGGGAGTTCCCATGGACTGTATGTATAATTTTAATTGAAGAAGACACATGCATTTGCGGTGGATCGTTGATTCATCCAAAAGCAGTTTTAACTGGATTCCACTGTGTGAAAGAGTGAGTGTGCTACAACTAATCAATTACAGACAAATACCGCAATGACAATTTAATTCAATCTCCCATTTCTCTCTTCTTCTTCTTCTTCTTCTTCGTAGCTACGTGTTGAAAGCAAGAGATTTGAAGATTCGAGCCGGTGAATGGGACACACAGACAACGAAAGAACGTTTACCATATCAAGAGCGTATTGTTTCAAGAATTTTCGGTCATCCAAATTATAATGAACGCTCATTGGCCAATGATATTGTAAGTCATCGTGTGAAGAAGATGGATCGTTAATAATCTGAAAAAATTTATTCACTTTTGATTGATTTGATATTTTTCTATGTTTTATTAAGGCTATCATTGAATTGGAAGATCCATTCCAAATGGATCGTCACATAAGTACAGTGTGTTTGCCACCGCCTGGCTTTGTACCCAATCAAAAAGATTGCTTCGCCTCTGGATGGGGTATGTATTAAATATAAATCCGCTTAATTCATTTATTGAAATTAGTGATTCAATTAGATGGAAATTGTGCCAAATTTTCCAGTTGATTGAACTAGAACTCATGCCAATTATTCAGTTCAATAATTTTTTTCAACAATATTTCAATGTTTTCAGGCAAAGATAATTTCGGACAAGCGGGAAGATATAGTGTAATCATGAAGAAAGTGCCACTTGACATCGTTGATCGAAATCAATGTGAACGAGCTTTACAAGTAGAACGTTTGGGTGATAAATTCCGTTTGGACGGTTCATTCATTTGCGCTGGTGGTGTTGAGGGAGTCGACACATGTCAGGTAAATAGAAGAGTTGATTCATTTCAATAATCGAGACATTAATGCCATTCAATTCGAAATAGGGAGATGGAGGAGCACCTTTAGTGTGCCCCATCGGACGACCAAGTGACAATCGATTCGCTCAGAATGGTATCGTAGCATGGGGACTCGGCTGTAAAAAACCAATTCCCGCCGTATATGCAAATGTGGCACAGGCTCGTGACTGGATCGATGGCCAAGTTCGATTCATTGGATTAGATACCAACTATTATACGTTTAGAAGTTAAAAAAAAAATTGTTGATCTATTCATTCTTTTTTCATTCATATTTTGGGTTGTGAAATTCAAAAATTCTTTGACAATTAAAAATATTCTTCGCTTTTTATGAATAAAACGAGTTTTATTTTGCGAGCATGAAGCTATTTAAAGTTGCCGCAAATAAGATTATTTAAATGTGCCGAATCTTCAATGAATTGATGTAGATATGCATTTCTAAAGTCTTCAAAATCAAACTGTAACATTTACTCAAGGTAAACAAGTTGATTGGGATTTCCAACTTATAAATCATCCTTAAAAGTTCGCAAATCGCGAAATGCGATTGATCAGTGGTCATAAACAAGTAAGTATTGACAACAGGTTTGATAGATTTTTTTAAAGAACATTTCGTGGAAATTCTTATCCTTGGCCTTTCGAATTTAGTTGAACCTTCAAAAATACCAAAATTGACTTTCCTATGTAGATCAAGTCTACCAATACAATCCGATTATTTTATCTGTGATATTATCAACTAATACATTGAGCGAAACATATGTGACGACACACGTTTAGCCACACTCTCAGCTCGTTCTCTCGCTCACTTTCGCACTGACCCTGTGAAACGAATAGTGATAAAAAATATTTGAAAACATCAGGAATAACAGTTGACCATTGTCTCTCCACCAGGTTGAACGTTTTGTGTGTTTTACTCACTTATGCGGTATGTGAACTGTTGCTTGTGGTAACTTTGACTTTATTTTCTGCCAATTGGAATTTATCGAATTTGTTGTAATTAAATAGTCTGTGCGTGTTGTTGATCGGTAGTTCGTTTGAGCTAAAAATATCGATTTCTATTCATGTACAATGAAAACCCAGCGGCAATCACTCAAATGACTATAATTCAATAATGAAAATAAGCATATATTTTTATTTCAAAAAACTAAAATCAAATGGAGCAAAATTTGGACCCAGTCATTTACAATTTGAAGAAAAATATAAACATTTTCAAGTACTTTTCCAACAGTGGAATGCTTCGTATACTGATATACATTTGGTTGGAACTCGGTTGACCGAAGCGCCATCTAAAGAACCGATGGCGAGTTCGTGATGTCTGTATGTTATACTTCAGTATGACGTTTGACAAAACGGAGAGTTTACTTGATTGTATTGTCATTAGCCTTAGATTATCTAGGTGGTGTTTGCGCTCAATATCAGTTGTCAAATTCAAAGTGAATAGGAGAGTTGTACTTTTCACCTATTGATGTAATCGGAAATTCCATGTGATGCAATAAATGATAAAGAAAATAAACAGAAGCGAATGCGCTCGTGTCATTTGGAAGGTTCAATTTTTTTTTTGTCGCTTGTTATCAGCTTACATATAGAGATGGATGTGAATAATTTTTGGTAATGTCAACCACATACGTCAAGAGAAAAACAAGATTGTCACAAACAACCAACAAATCATAGACGAATCCAAAAATTATTTTTAAACAACAAATACGACTAGCTCTAGTAGAGATAGTATTTTTTTTCCATTTTTCAGATATTTTGTCTTCATGTTGCTAATGTGTGGTGTCGTTAACGGTGTGTTAGACATCAAAATAGATGTGTATGTGATGGCTTATGTCTGTTTCACAATAAAACAGCCAAACTTGTTTCATCGTACACACTTGAATGCTGAATACATAATTTTTATTGTGTGTATCAAGTTCACATTCAGTTTTTTGTTCAAATTCATTACTCTGGTCTACTCAAATGGAGCCACCCAATTGTGAACGTCCTTTTTCACTAATTGTCACTCTGATCGTTCCCTTTTTGTCG